CTATGTAGTTGGATACGACAGACATTACATTTTCTAATTGCATAGCTTTTGCACATAGATTTTCTTGATGGATGATGCGATGAGATATAAATAATTTAGAAAAATTCTGTTCTCCCATTTTTTGTTTGAATAAGGAAATGACTCCCTTATTTTTTCCTGTCATTGCTGCAGCAACACTTCAGAAAATAATATTCAATTTAAACTAGACGAATTACATCGAAAAATATTTATTTATAATTTCTTCTAAACATCTCGCGGGCCGGATAGAAACTTTTCACGGGCCGTAGCTGGCCCGCGAAAACAGTTACAGCAAAACTACTTCAATTTACTTGATGATCATTTAGGATGTTCCAAGGAGAATCACACACAGTCAGTTCACCAACTTCTCCAAACGTTTACCCGATTCAGGAATTTTCAATTAATAAAATTGAAAACAATGTAACGCAGTTTATGAAGTTACACTGTCAAATTGAGTTGCTGTACAGCAAAGGCTGCCCATCGATCAAGATAATGACAGTCGCAGAAAAATTTTGAAAATTGCAAACTAAATACCCCCGAGCTATTCAACACTGACAGGTCCAATATACCATGATGTGCAAGACGCCATATCCACAAGTATATGAGTCAAAGGCCCATCACCCACGAATACCATTGACACATTAAGCAAGTAAAGTTATCACTATATGTGCAGTAGTTCATAAGTCACTAGGCTCTTGGCTTATGGTGTGACCACCATCATTTAAGTATGAATTGTGTTGATATCATTGAATTTTTTAATAAGTATATTCAGATAGTAGAATATTCCTTTGTTATTAACTAAGTCATGTTGTGAACAAGGCCAAGAAATGCCGTACTGATTAACAATTGTTATTAAATCTGACCGTTCCTGTTCAAGCATTAGGCAGTTGAATATGTTATACTTATATAATGAACGAACTGGATAAATATACTAATAATAAAACACACCTTTAATAATCCAGCTAATAAAAATTAATAATATAATAACGTTTTCAACCGTTTCTTAACGATCTTCTCCAGTTCGTTTGTTATATAAGTATACCGATGGCTACACCGGCCAAACAGTATAAGAAGCTGACCCTTAAATTATGTAAAGCAAGGGCTAAATTTGATTTTCTATCTCAATGGTGCCTTTCCGTCTTAATGGTGCCTTTCCAATGTCTATTTATCGAATACGATTGCCCACGGGATGTAATTCGCTAATCCCAAAATTGAGACAGCTGTGCCTCAGAAAGGCTATCAGGAATACAAGACGCAAAACGTACGCTATTTTGTACAAGCTGATAAAGATGGAGAACTACCTGTATGAACAAAACCCACAACTTCTAGCGTTCGTGAATAAAAGTGTTGTTAAGTTGACACAGAATGTCGAAAGAAATTTAAAACGCAATTACATCAAGAAACTAAGATGGATATTCCGGATGCAGAATATTAAACCGAGCATAAGCAGAAACACCCATATCACCGCATGGGATAACATCGTACCCCCACAATGCATTTTGGAAGCCTTGGATTACGGTCCACTTTATGCTCCGCCCCCTTTGCCAAAGCCAGAGACCTTCATACCGGATATTGAATTGGTCATTAAAGGCATGAACGAAACAAATCAGGATTTTATTCGTTGGAAAACCAGATTCCGGGCGACAAAGGAGGTAAAAAGCAATGAGACGAACACACAGCGATTTCGAAACATCATAAAGAATTCGAGACATTGGTTACAACAGAACAACATAGTCCTAATGAAGGCCGATAAATCGAAAGGGGTGGTATTGCTAAAACGATCAACTTACAACGGGAAATTACGTGAATATATTGCAAGCACTGAATGTCAACCTGCACCCGTCCATTTTTTAGAAACCCTACAGCAAAGGGTCAAAAGGTTCACGTCCACTCCTTTAGCACGGCTCTTACATATGCAAAACTCCATCGTCCGTGCACCAAGAGAACCGAGAATATTTGCTTTCGCCAAAACACACAAACCGGGATACCAAATACGCCCTGTAATAGAGAAATGTAACTCTCCAACATTCTTAATAGAAAAACAACTGGTCAAATTTTTTCAATCTAAAGCTCATCGCCATCCATTCTCGATTAACAACTCACTACAACTAATAGAAGATCTCAAAAACATTTCTTTAATGGACGATGAATATATGACGGTCTTGGACTTTAAGTCGATGTATCCATCGATAAAATTGTCTCCTTGTTTCTGCGCATTAAGAGATTTTTTATTTGCCAATGTTGAAAATGCAACACGTCATCACAATCAAATACTAGAACTCGCACACCTGGTGTGTTATACATCGTTTTTTGAGTTTGAGAACGAATTATATTTGCAGGGAAGAGGCGTACCGATGGGTAGTCCCACTTCGGCTATTCTATGTGAGTTGGTCTTACGGCATCTCGAAAACAAAATTCTACCCGAATTCCAACACCTTATCATTTTGTACGCCAGATACGTCGACGATATATTCATCTTGTGGCAACGAAAACCTAACCTACAGCAATTTTTGGATAGGATCAATAATAACCCTTACGGTTTATTACTACAAGTGGACCAGGAGAGTGATGATACTGTAAATTTTTTGGACATTTCCATCGCTTGCAGACAGGGAGAAATCAGGACCGGCATATACAGAAAACCGTGCTTTCAACCCACTTTAATTCCGCATAATTCAATCGATCCGCATCACATCAAATTGGCGGCCTTTAGGTCCTGGATAAAAAGGGCTTATACACATTGTTCTAGCATAAAAGACACAATGGCGGAGCTAAACTACATTCTAAAGATTGCGGAACAACAAGGATACCAAAAGGAAATCATAAAGAATCTTATTACATCCTTCCAAACAACTAAACAACAGCATCCCACAGTAGACGGTAGACAAAGGATGGTTTTAAATTATATCCCGTTTTTAAGACAAATACATAAAGAAACGGCCAAGACTAATGATTTCAGTATAGTATATCGACGCAATCCTACAGTTTTCAAGCTATTAAGAAACGATAAGAAGCATTATGACTGGAAATCGGCATCGGGAATCTACTCTATACCATTACACGATCAGCGTTTTAATTCGGATCTTGTCTATGTAGGCGCAACAATGCGCAAATTACAACAACGTATCAAGGAACATAAATATACGATTAATAAGAAAATTGATAACACCGTGCTATCGTCTTACGCAACGCAACACGACATCCAAGTCCATTGGGATCGGGCGGAAATTATTAAACCAACGACAAATTTACATACAATGAAATATCTGGAGAAATTAGAGATCTTTAAAGCACACAAGAAAACGGGATGCATCAACCATAGAGATGCGGACTCTTTACCTACCGCTTGGCGATCTTTTTACAAGAATTAATGTCTTTATTTATTTTTATTTATTAAGGGGCATTTTTTCGAATTAATTTTTATTTTTCATTTATTTTATCTACTTTTCTGTTATTTATATTTTAATTTCATATTTACGTTCTTTTTGTGTTCGATTTTATTCTATGTTATGGTAACTGAAGAAGATCGTTAAGAAACGGTCGAAAACGTTATTATATTATTAATTTTTATTAGCTGGATTATTAAAGGTGTGTTTTATTATTGTTAGAAGAGATGGCCTGGCCTGACAGACAGGTGTGACGTGAATCAGACTTCCCTTGAAAAATTTTTGAGTTACCTAGATCAATTCCAGGCCTCCAGAGTGGTAGGCTGATGTCTTAATTGCCTTAGCTATTCAATCATTCACATTACTGGTGCTGCATATTTCTATAAACCTCAAAAATAAGCCTGTGAATTTATTCTTAAATACTAAGCCTATTGGTATACCATCTTATTTCAACCATAACTATGATAGACAAATTCTGGAACTGAATGAAGTTTTGTTCCACTGTCTTCCTCAGTGTTAAAAAAAAATTAATTATAAGAAGTTTTAAAACTTATGGAATAGTGTATTTATTCTGTATCTAACAGTTATCTAGAAATATGAATAATCTATATATATAAAAATGAATGTGTGTGTGTGTGTCTGTCTGTCTGTCCGTCCTTTATGCATTACCACACCGTTTATCCGATTGCCGTGAAACTTTGGGAAGTTGTTTAATATACTCCGGCGAAGGTTTGTGGCATAGTACGATTGCCATGAAACTTTGGAAAGTTTTTTTAATTTTTTAATACACTCCCGCGAAGTACATTTATCCTACGATAGATGGCGCGCGTTTACACGAGCATTTGCGCACAGTGTGTTCGATCGATTTCAAATTGTGAAGACCATTTCCACCCTTCAAAAAATATCTCTATATATGCATTTGTGAACTGTTATTTACGATATTTATAATAATTTTTGTTTAATCATTTGATTGTTGCTGCTTCCCTCGTGTTACATAATTTTTTTTTAACCGAAAGCAGCACAACATACTGTCCAACAGGTTTTGTCGACACAGAAGATTCGGATCATTCAGTCAATCTGGGACAATGGCGTGATGAGCAAAAACACTTACATAAATGTGGTTGGCAAAAATCTAACACATATAGTTGTGACGCAAAAGTGTTACGTGACAAACTTGC